ATATGTTTGCGTAAAATGGGTCAACTATTACGAAAATGGGTCCAGATGTTTCAATTTTTGCGTAAAATGGGTCCGTATTATCTGAATTTACGCGTAAAGTTTGTCTCCACCCTGATATTGTTTCTCACTGTGTGAAAATCCTGGCTACGGCATTGATTATATATACTTGACTTTATGTCCATTTAGCTGGAAAGCATAACAATTGTTCTAAACAGACAGACATTGCTATTCCTTTACATCTGTGGACATGAACATTGCATAGACCTACATTATTATACCGGTATACATTATTAAAATGATATGTCTACATGACTGTGTAGAATCTATTACAACAGAAATTGCACCTAACAACAAAAGACATAAAACATTTATTTGAAATTTATTTTTTAATTGTTCTTCATTTCAGTTCTGTTTAGTATAAATTGGTTTGTACTGTTCTTCTCATATCCCGAAAGGGGTCGATAGAGAAATAAATAAAATTAAATCATCATCATCATCATTATCATCATCATCATCATCATCATCATCGTCATCATCATCATTATAATATAATAATAATGTGGACCCATTCTTTGTGGACGATATAGAAAAAATGTGTAGGACTGTCCAAACTGCCCAAACAACTGTCTACAGTATTGTATATAATATATAGGCCTAGGTGATAATTATGAAAATTGTCACTGCATTGAACTCATTTAAGGTTCCGTGTATAGTAGAATAGAATTACAAAATAATCGTACAGTTCTCATCATGCTCGATTCTGATATGAAGACGACCTCAGGGAATCCAGTAATACGGGAAGTACCAGGGTTTCATTGCAAGATCTTTTTTATCTCTCTGAATTATTTAATCATATTGTATTTCATTTGAAGTGTAACAGAATACTTGACATCAAATAGTAACTTCGATGGTGAGAGGGTGAAGCATGCTAACAACCTGTTAGAACAAATCCAGTATCATTGCATATCTGCTGGGAACGTATAGGATATGCTCAACCAATTATCAATATTATAAATGATAACTATTCAAATTGCAAAGAACGTTACTTATAAATGTAAATTACCAAATATTTCCACTGCAGGCCCGGTATTTCATTTTATTCATTACTTGCCTATTTTACAACAGCGCCAAAATAATTTCGAACACCATTGTTATAGCCTAGAGCAAAACTTATTACTAATACCCAATTTTTAAAAATCTAAAAAAGCCTAGTGTAATTATGAGAGCATCTACATAGTATGTATATAACAGTTAATTTGTCATATTCTTCTTCTGTTACGTTTCAATTTATATATATATATATATATATATGTATATATATATATGTGTATATATGTATATATACATATATAATATAAATCGTCAAAGGTACATAACAATACAGTGTTAAAACATTGTATATGTACCTTTGACGATTTATATTATATTTATTCAACAGAGTTAAAGGCAGGAAAGAAAACAAAACTAAATCACGGGACATCTTCGTGGTCATAACCACATGACCACGCAGACATTGTGGTGATGCAAACGCCAATAGAATTTGAGTTCTTCTCATTCGTTAACGTGTTTTACGTCACAATTTTGATAAAGCAATAGTATCGCATGTGACTAGACTGTCAAAGATTATTGTATGTTTCAGAAATTTCAGAACTAGTAATTTGTTTACTGCTCTGGTAGTAGAGGAATTAAGATAACTTCCCGGTCACTATAAAAATGATCAAATAAGTTATCAACTTTTCAGTCAAAAATGTCGGTTTACAAAAATGATTTACTTGTCTGTAAAAATCATTAACTTACCTAGGCATAGCGGCACTCTTCTTGCAAATGGGACTAGGTGTATACACATGCAGCAAGTGTGGAATTATTATTAAAAACATAATGAAGAAAGATAAGTCTAGTTTGTAAGCCTATGAATCACCCTTCCTTGAATACGATGGTTAAACATAGGCTAAAATACAGTCTGTGCCTCAAAAACACAGCGCGTACAACGCGTTCCGTTTTCACGAAGAGACGCAAACTCTACTCTACGTGTAAAAAACATAGGCTGTGTTTATTCTGATCGTTTTTACGAACAGAAACAAACTTTTTACGCTAATTAATAGGTTAATTAAAGTTAATTAATTTAATTAATTAAATTAATTAATTTAATTAAAATTAAATTTGAATATATGAATTGTTTAGTGCTTTATCCTTAAATATATGTATATATAAAAAAATAAAATAAAATAAAATTTCGTTATCCTGATAGTGAAATATACTGTTTTATGATAGTCCACTTTAAACGTCTTCGTGAAAACGGGTCTTTGCAGAAACTACAGGAATGAAATTATTTAAACGTTTCTTTCATTTCCTCTTTCTAATCTTCAGTTAATATTTAATCAGTCGACATTCCTACAATTTAAAAAAATACGAATATTTAAATTGTCAACATACACTAGAAATTAGGTTGAAAGCATAATTATTGCATATATCCCAAAACGTTACGTTATACCAGTAACTTTACAAGGCATGATAATTATAATCAAATCAATTAAATATATATATATTTCACATTTCCCAGACGGTTTAAATGCAAATTGGTGGGGTATTGTATTAGAATATTGCAATTGAACAATCTTTCCAACCTGATTTTTGTAGTGTATTAGATCGCTTACGAAATGTCAATAAGAATCTATTTATAGCGTCATTTTTGAATCATTGATAAAATAAAGTGAAGTAGTCGCCAAATGTAGACTGGATACGCTGTGTTGTGTTGGAATTGTAGTGGTGGTGGTATTAATTGGCATTTTATAGTAGTGGCAGCAGTAGCAGCAGCAGCAGCAGAAGCAGTAGTAGCATGTAGTAGTAGCATAGTATCAGTAGCAGTAGTAGCATATAGTAGCAGTAGACTACTACTACTACTACTACTACCACTACTACTACTACTACTACTACTACTACTACTACTACTACTACTACTGTGAAGGCGGTAGTAATACTAGTAGTACTCTGTTATTTGGAAGTAAAATTTTAGAACAGCATCATAATCATGAACAATGCTGTATACAGAACATAGTAGTAGCAACAGCAATAGTAGTAATAGTAGCAGCAGCAGCAGTAGTAGTAGCATAGTAGTAGCAGCAGCAGTAGCAGTAGCAGTAGTACTACTGCTACTGTTAAGGTGGTATTAACACTAGTAGTACGGAGTTATTTGGTAGGGATTAATTAAATTTTAGAGCAGCATAATCATGAACAAATCTGTTTTCAGAACATTGTAGTAGTAGCAGCAACAACAGCATAGTAACAACAGCGGTAGCTGGAGTAGTAGCAAGAGCAGTAGACGTAGTAGTAGTAGTAGTAGTAGTAGTAGTAGTAGTAGTAGTAGTAGTACTGCTATGTTAAGTTGGTATAGCAATGCGGAGCTATTTTGAGGGAATTAGTTAAATTTTAGAACAGCATGATCATGAACAATTCTGTTTTTAGAACAGCATAATCATGACAATTCTGTTTTCGTAAAAGTCGTTTTGTGCTCTCTAGCAAATTGATGTCTTGGAAAATTGGGTTTCTTATTGTTACGATTGTATCACTTGAAGGGCTTTGAAAGCGTACCTCATCGTAGACATCTTCTGAAACTGAGTTCTTCGGCCGACTTGCCGACTTCAAAGTTGTTTCCATGGATTTCTGTCTGGTGCCGGTAATACAATGAGACGGTATAAAAGGGTATGTTTCTGACAGATAATGTTCGAATTGGAAATCCCCTAGGAAATCTTGTTGGACCTGTTCTTTATATTATGTTTATAATTGATTGTTCTTCTGTTACTTGTTCCTCTGATATTGTTTGCAGGTAACACAACACTTTATAGGTTAGTCCATACTAAGACGGATGCTCATAATTTAAAACTTAATAATAGAGCCTGTGATTGGTCACCTAAGTGGCAGTTATCATTCAGTAAGTGCAAATAATATCCTTTACATGCTACACTTTTTATAAGAAGACCGAGGCTGAAATTGCTTACAAAATAAAAGCAGATCGAGTCTGAGGTAAAATGTTGAAAGAAAATACTAGAAAACCAACAAATCAAGCTAGTCACATACAGTACGGTATAGTATTAATGTTTAAAAAGGTTATATCAACATTATATCGCCTCCATTAATCTGTAGTTCCGTCAGGGAACGACAGTCCGTACAATGATGCTGATATTGTGGCTGGATGGATGTGAAGTAAAACTATATAATATGCTTTATCTTGTGAATATAAACTTGTGGTATAATATATATATAATATATATATATATGTATATATATATATATAGTATATAGGCTATAGTGAAGTAAAACTATATAATATGCTTTATCTTGTGAATATAAACTTGTGGTATAATATTGAGATATTATATATATATATATATATATATATATATATATATGTATATATATATATATATACAATACGTTTTTATAAGAACAATAAAGCTGAATTTGCTTAAAAAATAAGACCAAAATAAGAACAAATTGAGGCTGAGTTAAAATGTCAAATTAGATTTCTTAGGTTTCAGTGATATACTGATGTACAAATACAATTTTTTATCTTTGAAAACAGAATAGAATAAGCATATTTCGAGTTTGAAACTAGCAAAAAGAAGAACACTGAGTCTTTGCAAGTTTTATAGGCACTTATAATATAAAGAATATGTTCCTGGACCGAATCCACTAGGATTTACAGCTGGAGGCAAACATTACAGTGTCGACCTATGTCTTTATGACATTGATAATGCTTCATATGTACCGAAGAACATTTTTACTTGATCACTAGATTTTACATAGTGTGCTTTAATTATTTTGCTTTTCGGCATTTTACCATCGAAAAACCCTTTAAACTTTATTTATTACATTCAAGTTCTCTTTAGGCCTGCATGCTCGGTCACTTGCGTTACTTTCATTGTCTGTCTAAATGTGTGATGTATGCGAAAAATACATGACATTATAATGTATTTTGCTATTGATTTTTTTGTCTTTTGCAGGCAAGTGGCTTCCGCTGAACAGCAAACGTTCCGTGTTGAGGGACCTTATGCATCCACGCAGAAAGCATGGTAAGACCATTAGGTCAACACCTAATTAATTGCATAATATACTAAGTTCATACCACGTCAATCAATCTTTCCGGATTGTCCATAAACTTTAACTGACCAATAGTAACAGATCCAACACTACGCGCATGTCCTACGAACAGTCACGTTTACTTACGCAACGTCGTCGTTTTATATAGGTGGCGGCGTTTAATGGAATGTTCCATTGCCTGACCCATTAATTTCCTATTTTGAAACAACATATGGTGACCGCACTTTTTTTTATTTCTAATTAATTGAATAATTTTGCAATTAATATTACATATTATTTTAGTTAACATAACTTTCTAACGGGCAACCAGTTGTACTTTCTTAATTATCTGAAAACCGTTTTACTAGTATTCAATTATTCACTTATCACGTATAAATGGCGCCATTTTTGTTTGCTGATTAGATGTTGACTTAATTAGGCATCCTAGACAATCTTAAATCTTTAAAAATTTAATGAAAGTACATAGGCCTACTACAGTATCGCGTCATTAAATAAATAAAATAAACATTTTGTAATAATAATAATAATACGTATATTTTTCTACTTTGAACTCCTGGAGCGAAACAAGAAATTTCGAATTAGGTGAACGAATTCGAGCATACGAAATGTCCGTCCCGAGGGGCAGGCAGTCGAACGCAACTTCTTATGCAGCCAGGCCACACATCCAGACTAGCTGGGCTTACTGAAGCAAACATTTTGTACTCTCCAAGTATTCCCGCTAATTAATTCACTCTAACAGGCATTTTGAATATCTGAAATCCCTCTAGAGGCTTATCAATTTCATTACTGACAAATAGATGCTTATTCAAGGGAAAGTATTCGATGTAGAGAAGTGAATAATTGATATGACTCCATTGATCTTGTTCTGTAATCTCAAATATATATATATATATATATATTATATATATATATCGGGTTAAAGGTCAAACATGCGCCTTCTTTATCGGAAAACTTTTCACGAACCATCTCGTGATTTTAGTCGACCACGCAATTCTTAATTCGATTTTGCGTCAATTTAAAGGCTAAACCCTTAGCAATAAAAGTGTATCAAATCATTTTGATATAATGTTGTTGAATCATGTACATTTTTCCCCTCTCCATATTAGATATATGAGCAAAACGGTGATGAATGCTTGAATTATAGCCTGTTGTAAATGTTTAATCAAGTGCTGCTGAAGTAACGACTGTTAATAAATAGACTGTCATTTTAAACAATCATAGCTCACGGCTTGTCATAATCAATTTTTTGTCCCGCATTCATATTTTTTTTTCAAAAATGTTATTTATCATATTAAATAGATCTGTATTAGATAAACTCTAACTCGTCTTGTGGCAATGTTTTATACATAATTATTTATGTCTCTTATACACATCT